CAGTACCTATGCTCTGCGTCTGCTGTTGTCATGCTTGGTGTGCACTAGTCGTTGCATTGACTGCAAGTACTGTTGACTTTGTGTCAATTGTATACTTTATCTCACAGAGGAACCGACATAGAGATTATACTATTGTTGAGTGACTTCGGTGTACGATGACGTCTGTCGGCAATGCTAACGTTCAAGGTGTCCGCGCTTGCTACAATTGCGGTCAACCCGGGCATATTTCTCGATATTGTCCATTACCTGATCGACGTTTGAATGCGTCACATGTACCAGTTAGTAAGGTTCTTGTCCCAACTCAGCCGCTGTTGACTGTCCCTCTTGTCCCTAACGTTGGTACAAGTGTCCCTTATTACTCTGGTCAGTATAACAATGGTGGTAGTGGTCTCGGGCGTCGAGTCAGTACTTTGGAAGAAATCGTTAGTAAGATTAATGGTAAACACGAAGCCGAAGAAGCAAAGGAACGGGCTCGGCGCGAGGATGAAGAGCGAAAGAAGCGCGATGTGAATGAGGAAGAGAGACGTGTTAGAGATCGGAAGGAGCGAGACAAACTCCATAAGGAGTTGCACAAGGAGATGACGGGGAAGCTTGATAAAGTCTGTGAAGCTGTTAACGGTAAGAATGTTGGCGAGAATGAGGAGATCGCCAAGCTAAGAGCTCAGGTGGAGTCGCTTGTCCGTCAACAAAGTGGATTGGATAAGACCTAGGACAAGACACAGGACGAGATCGCAAGTCTCAAGGCCGAGATTGAGGTACTTCGCCGTGGCCATCCTGGTGCCAGTACGTCTGCCACTGTTTCCAAGCCCAATCGGGACGCTGAGGAGTTATCGCGACTTCGGGTCGAACAGGCAGAGGCGAAGGCATTTTGTGATTGGAGGTTCGCCTCTTTCGAGGAGGTTATTATCGTCTTGCAGAGGCAATGTGAAGCTGCCGAGGCGAATGCTGATGTGTGGCGATCGGAAACACTTCGTCCGGGTAATAAGCGAGGAAGCGTTGCCATTGGGGCTACTCCGGCATCTGATGCGCGAGTGAGGGCGCGAGTGGCTTCTCCAAAAACTGGACGTGTGAACCTGGACTTAAAAGGTATCGTTGAGCGACACCAAATGGAGGTGGATCATCTCAAGGAAATGCGGTTGCGCGAGGTTAACGCGCGGAAAGAGCCCGAAGAGGAGATTGGACGCTTGAAGGAGGCGATGGCAAAACTGGGGACCAGGGTCAAAGCTAAGGGCACTAATTTGAAGGCCAAGCTTGATGACGCCGCCGGAGTCTCCATGAGAAAAACTTCTTTACGGATTTCGGACGATGCGGGTGGTGCTTCTGTCAGGAAGGGCAAAGCAGCGGATAATCCGACTGTGCAGATCAACAATCGGGATGCTTTTTTGTGTGATGCTCGAAAAGACCTGCGTAAGAAGAATAAGGAGGAAATTTTGGCTATATGTGAAAAGGAGGGATTAACCTATTCTACGTTGGAACCTGCTAAGGAAGCTATTGCGCATCTGCGTACTGCTCGCGCTTTCGATAAGGATGAGCGCGGTAAAGGTAAGGCGAATTTGGTCGTTGAGGTAAGTGAAGAGGCGGGTGGTAGCTCTGATAAGGAGGACGTGCGTGATTTCGCTTGCTCTTAGGGTTACACCCGAACGCGGCCACGATATGGTCTATTATTAACTCTATTTGTGCCTTTCGTGCCTCTTCGATCAATCTCTTGCGGAATTATGTAATTAATCAGTTTCTATCGGTAGCGGTATTATGCCTGTTTCTTCTTGGCGAGGTTCAATGGGGTAATCATCTTTGTGGTTTTCTACTTCGTGCCTTCTTTTCTGCTAAGGATTCGAATGTTGATTGGTGGCATGGTCCTTTGGTATATGCGCTGGTGTCGCCTTGGTCTCGGCATGTTTACGTTGGTAGCACCTCCCGTGATTTGGCATCGCGTTGGCGAGAGCATGTGTACCGTACGTGTGGCACTAAGTTGGTTGAGGGTGGGAAGCGTAACGCAAAGTTGTATAGAGGGCTTCGGTGCTTCGGGGCTCATTTTTATTCTATTATTCCTTTGTGTCGATATTCAAATGACGATTTGTTGGAGACGGAGAAGTATTTCATTCGTTTGTTATCACCGGCATTGAATGTTAGAGGCAAGCCTCGAAGGTCTAGGAAATGTCGACCAGGTGCCAGGGAAAGGAGGAGGAGTAAGAAACTAGGTGTGTGTACAAGGGGTGATCTGACGATTCAGGACAATTCTGTATGTTCCTTTTTGGCTAGCTCTGGTGTCGAAACTGTAAGTTTGTTGAACGTGTTGAATGGGTGCCAGAAGGCTGGGCAAACTAGTATTGTCGTCAAATGTTTCGGTGGTGATCGACTGGTGGACCGATGGAATGTTGTTAAACGATTGTATGATGGCAGTCTGGTTTCATGCGAGTTTGGTACACGTGAACTTCGTTATGTACGTACATGGCTAACAGGAGGGGTTACTTTGGTATTCACATCTGTTATCTTCTTCTTGAGTAGATCGGTTGCGCTCAACGAACCACTCCGAGGCTTTTTGGCTAATCCAGCGAGTCGCCGGCTGCTTGTCTCTTGGGATCTTGACCGGTTAATTGCTGCATACTAAACTGCTCGCACCTTCAATGAAAAACGTACCAGATTCCGTCTTCGCTTGATGTTGTCACACCATATTTTGAGGAGATTTGGTTTGCATGTTAGGCAACGGCTGATTGTTCGGGTTGTGTACAATGATCGTGTCTGTAAAGCTATGGTTCGTAAAGCCTGTATGGGGATCGTTGGTATGTTGGACATTCCCCAGTCTTGGAAGGGTATGCTCTGTCAGCGCATGTGCGTTGTGTGGTGCAAGAATCGGAGTGTGGGGGATTGTCTACATAACTTTCAGACTTTTTCTAAGTTGGATGTTGTTGAATGTTCTTGTGATAGTTGCGATGAATCCCTCCCGCGCGTGGATGATCATGTGTCCTTTCGCATCAATGATAAGATTCTGTTGTTTCCTCCCTAGATGCGTAACTCCAAGAATGTACTTAGACCCTCCTGATCTTGCTTGATTGGTGACCTGCGGCATGAACTACTTTCGGTCTTCTCTTCTCATCCCTCCCTCCCACGTGTTAACGTCTCTTTGCTGACTTACGAAATGGTTAGTGAATGTTTTCTTGACCCCTTTAATTCCTCTACTCAGTCGACGAATGTGGATGATTTGCGACCTTTCCTTCACCTCCTTCGGGGACTTGTACGTTGTCCTATCGATCACAACCCTGGCGATACGTTCGTGTGCTGTCCTTTTATTTATCATTTGGGGATGGAGAAACTTTTTTTTGGTAATCTTTCTTTCTGTGCTTGCTCGATGGACGAACCTTCTTTACTTCGCGCATGTGAGTCGGACTATGTTCGGTCTGAACTACAGTGTGTGGGCAAATGGAAGAAATCGGGGAATTTTGGCAATGCGTATTGTGTTCCAAAACACAAGGACGTATCGCGGTGGAGGCCTATCTGTCCCTCCTACCTTGAGTGTTCGGCGGCGGGGGGGCGAACTGTGTCACGATGTGTCAATACTTTGTTGTGGCGACTTCCAACAGATTCAAACTTTAACCTTCGTAGTGCCAACGATCTGCTCACTAAGCTGAAAACGATCAACAGTTCCTTAAAGGATGACAATGTGTTGGTAGGTGCATCCTTTGACATCAAAGAGATGTTCTCCAATTTGTTCCATCATTCGATTTTACAGGCCCTGAGATGGGTTATTGATTTTTGGGAAGGAAGAGGTTTCAATGGTGTATGCATTCGTAAGCAAGGGAAATACGCAAAATTGTCAATTGATAAATTGGAAGCTGGATGAAGACATGTTTCTTTTGTGCATATCTTTAAGTTTATTGAGTACGAGCTCGGGCATACTTTCGTCGTAGCTTCGGGAAAGCTGTTGCAGCAAGAGATTGGCATTCCTATGGGCAAATCGTTTAGCCCAGCTCTCGCTTGTTTACTTTGTGCGTATAATGAATTTTTCTTCATCTCGAGCCTCAACAAGGAATGTGTTCGCTTTCATGGGGTACGTCTGGTGGACGATGTTTCTGTTTTTGTGGTTGGCAAGCGTGACGACGACGATTCGCAGGTTCAGGGACTGCGTCTGATTAATGCCTTTAGTCAATGCTATGACGACAATCTGTCCTTGGAGAAGACTAACGTAGACAATTGTTGGGATTTTCTGGGTTGCGTGTTAAAAATCTTTGATGGTAAGAGGGGGATTCTATGTTTCCCAATGATGAAAAATCAAAGGGAACAAGTGGCTGGGGAGATTAAATTTCAGACTCTTCAGGATTTTTCCTCATTTTCTAGCAAACAGTAAAAGATGGCGATGATTGGAGCCTTCTTGCATCGTGCTAAGTCGTATTCGTTGTAGATAGCATGGTCTTTCCCTTCTTATTTGCTTTGAAGATCGAGTTGTGGAAGCGAAGTTATCCCGATGAGTATTTTGATCATGTGCTGGTGAGTTTCTCTAATAAATTTGCTGGGCTATGGGGGGAGTGGCTCCCAGTGTTGACGAATTGGGGCCCGTTTCGTTTTGGAATGAGTAAGGGGTCTCGTTGGATATATGGGCCCTCGAGTTAGGGGGTTCGCTCGTTGGAGAAGATGTGTTTCTTGGTATCTTGATAAGTAACTAGGCAGTTTGTGGTGGGATTCTTGGTATTATGATGGTAGCCATCCGTTGAGGTTTGAACTCTTGACCTTGTTGGCGAAATTGCTCACTGGTACTCTGCTGATAATATTCTGTTTCCCGTAGTCGTGTGGAGGGTTGAACTCTTGACCTCGGTGGTGGTAAATGTCTTGTAGCTCACATTTGAGATATCTGGAGTTATGATTTTCGAGGTCTTTTTCGGTTATAGGTGAGTTACGGACTTGGTCTCTCTGTGACAGGTGATTCTTTTCTGTTTGAGGTGGGGTTCTTGGTATTAGGATGGTAGTTGTTCTTTGAGGTTTGAACTCTTGACTTTGTTGGCGAAATTGCTCACTATTTCTTTTCTGATGATATTTCTATGTCCCGTAGTCATGCGGAGGGTTGAACTCTTGACCTCGGTGGTGGTAAATGTTTCGTAGCCCACGGTTGAGATTTTTTTTTGTTGATTCTTGATGTTTTTTGTGGTTATAAGGGAGATACGTACTTGGTCTCTCCGCTACGAGAGATTCTTTGGACCGATTCCTTTTTGGTACGGGTCGATATTCTGCGTTGAACTATTTTGTGATCGGCTATCCTGTTTTCATTTTTTTTTTATCTAGACATAGGGTAGATAAGGTTAATTCTTTGTTCTTCTGGA